ATATGCGTGTGTTTATGTGGTTATAGCAATACTTTAGATTCCTTTGTATTCAAAGATTCTACCATCTTTCACTATGACAGATCGGATGGGGATTCCTCGTCGTACATGCTATATATATTTCTCATTACACTGCGGATTCACGCAGTATGTAAAGGTAGGTAGAAAGTTGTGAATACGATAGAGACCCTCAGTAGATGTCAGTCAATATGTTGCACCTTCTAACATAGCTATCATTTCGTACTATCGCTATGTAGAGTTCTTAAAAGGTGAAGACCTGAAGGCATTGGGTATAGATATGGATAATCTGGAAATAGATCCCAGTGCGGCTATAGCCGAAGAAGAAAACCCGGAACCTCCACAACCTGGCAACAAGAAGTTTGTTTCACCATATTTGGATGCGCAGTTAATGCACGATGCTGAGGCGATGGCAGCAGCTTCACCGAAAACAAAGAAGAAGAAGAAGTTCTTTAGCGGGTATGTTATGTTGGTCGATTGGATACGGGTTTAAGGATTTCAAAGTTTTAAAGTTCTTGGGTTCCGTGGTGTACTTTGACGGTAAATACATAGTTTGTGTCAAAATTCTTCAGCACGTATCTTATGTTGGTCTGAGGGGTTCAGACTTTTAGAGTTTAAGGGTGTCATGGTGTACTTTGAGTTTAAATATATAGTGTTTATAGATGAAGGTCGTAGGGTTTCAGGGTTTCATAATGTACTTTGTGTGCATATAATCGTTATCAATACAGACAGCATTGTATTAGTCTACAATGTAGCTGTATGTGTATAGACACAGATCGATATAGAGTTTTTGGGTCAGGGGTTTGCCTAAAAACATACGTTCCCATACGTATACTGCAAAACCACAAACTTAATTCATATATATGCACTCGCCCCCCAGAATCATCGATAAAGACACCAATGCGAAGAAAATCACAAAGAAAGATCTCAAAACATGGAACGAGCGATTGAAGATGATGGCTGCGGAGGTGAAGACTAAGCACGGCCTAACAAAACTACTGGAAGTGTACAAGAACAACCCCGCTAAGGGGTCAGTCGAGGCTATGAGTGAGCTGGGATATCAGGTAAATATATATTACATATATATATATATTTATCTATATATATCTACATATC